GCAGACACTGTGGACATTATTTCTCAAGCCACTAGCCAGATAGTAACAAGTAAAGCTGGAATCAAAACTCAATCAGCTTTCCATCTCCTGTCTCTGTGCCTTTAGAGTACACAGTACACATATGAGATGAGACACAATTGTAACAACACGTTATTTGTTGTTTGCCCAAAGTTCAATTAACTGAGCATCCTGCATTTTCTTTGCCAAATCTAGTAATCCCATTGACAAACCATATGCATGGCCTTCTTTGCTTACCTAATGGAGGGTAATCAACCCTTGCAGGATTATTCTGTCAGAAGTGATAATGCCTTTTCTATTAGCCTGCACAGCCAATGGCCTTTATCCCAACTCTAACTCTGCTTTGGTACACTTGGCCCTCAGCACTGAATATGATGGTTGCCAGACACTAGGCAATCTCATAATCAGGAATATGGTCTCATAGGATCATGTTCATTATAGATCCAATAGGAAAAGGACAAATACTGCTACATCTGCTAAAAGGAAGAAGAGAAATTCTCTCTTTTGTCTTAAAGTTCCCCATAAAAAAGGACCACTTACGTGGTTCTAATGTTCCCCCTTTATAATCTCCAAATAGGAAATGGCACCTGCTGCAGCCCTTGACTTTCCTAGTGTCGCAATGGTACGGCATAGCCATCTCTCCAAATACAAAAGAACAAAAATGTCAAGGTTGAAGTCTGGCTATTAAGAATATGCTTAGATCAAATCTGGTCTCAGCTGGGATTACATACATTCTTGTCACTTGACTGACAATTGGCTAAAGCAATGGTGTCACTGGGACAAGCTTTTTTCAACTTCGAGGAAGCCCTGCTGGGCACGTATGTTCTCATGACAGTGTAAAAGATACAGCAGTATGAATAGAAATTCTTGAGTTTTTTCTTTTTCGAATTCTATTCTACCATGTGTTGTTCAGTGCTACTGTATGTCTACCTCGTACTTAAAGGACAGGCAATCAGATCCTGCTGGTTGCTAGGTGAATGTGAACCATGACATGAGAAAAGGCCTGAACACAGGGAAGCTTCTATGGCACTATGGGTGCATCCGACATACTCCCCTCAACTCACATGATAATTAACATCAACATAACTGGCGTTTTACTAAGTCCTTACAATGTTCAATTTGTAAACTATCTTTAACAATGGTTAAACAATAGTCATTGCCTATAACATCACTAGGAGACAAGGCCTTATGGGAGATTAGAGATCAGGGCAGCCTATGATCATGCCTCTGGGGAATTATCATCGTTAGGTTAGCTGAGATGGGAAGACCTGCGCTGTGGGTGGCAGCATTTCCTGTGCTAGGATCTCAGACTGAATACAAAGGGGGAAGTAAATGGAGTATTTGCCACCTCTGCTCCTGTCTGTACCTGGTTGCCTGATGTTCCCACTGTTATGACCTCCCGACCACTGTGGACTGCACCCTTGAACTGTGAGACCAAATGAAACGCTATCTCCCTTTAAACGCTTTTATCAGAGGGTATTTCTGCAACAAGAAAAGTGACTAATTGTGACTATTCTGGGACCACATAGGCATCATAAGGCACCAGTAAAAAGACAGGGCCAGAAGCTCCCTGAAGATGGCCTAGCAAGGGGTCCTCCTTGGCACCGAAAGCAGTTCACATTTTAACTCATACAAATTGATTTTAGGTCTGAGCAATCAGCTGTGGTGCTGTTTTCTCCTGAATCCATCAGAATTATAAATCTGTTTAACCTTTTTTTTCCCTCCCCTGAACTTCTATTAAATGCACAAATATGCAGTGCATAGATAATGTAACGCGGAATGAGATGGAAAATAAGTTCTTCATCCATTTCTAATCTAATTGTGGCAACTTGCTGATAACTAATGAAAAGACCAGAAGGTAATCATTTCTGCTTCTGAATGAAGAACTCTGCACCGTGACTGCAGCTGTCTGCACTTCAAGCTCCATTTGTTGAGACTAACATAGAAACAGGATATTTGGCTCTTTCAGAATCACTACACAACATTGTTTGGTGACCCATGACAGAAACATATATTGGTCTTTACCTTCCCGTAATTATTGTCTCCATCACACTTTATAACACAGCAAATGCTCTAGGTTGTCCAAGCTAAGGTAAAATTAAATATTAAAAAGGCTTTCTTTTTGGTGCCACTGGCAATTAACATTAATGAAAATTTAAATTATGTGTGACACAAAATTAAGGAAAACAATCATATTTAATTAACTGTGTAACTCATAATGATTTTCATAGAAAAGGTGTTGGCTAGATATTCAACTTTTGAAAAACAAAAAGACCAAAGTTAGAGGAATCAGGTCAGAGGTGAAGTGCTTACCTAGCATATATTGGACTCTGCATTCAAGTCCCAACATGGGAAAACGATTCTCATTCTCAAGATGACAACACAATACAATTTTTAAGTCTCTCTCTCTCTCTCTCTCTCTCTCTCTCTCTCTCTCTCTCTCTCTCTCACACACACACACACACACATACACACGACATGTGTTCTTATAGCTAGAATCACAGTCATAAAAACTATATTCATAAGATTTTCCTTGAAATTACCTAATCACATCACCTAAACATATAGGATAATAAGAATGGGGATTGCTGTCCCCCTATTTAGTCATATATATTATACTCTATCCCTTGTGGATAAAAATGCTACTTGTGGAACAAGGAGACTCTTGATTTAGCACCACCTATAGAGAGTGGGAGAGGCAAAGACACACACACACACACACACACACACACACACACATCCTTTGATCTTTCAGTGGAAGATGTTCTTGGATATGTTGCCAACACCTCTCTTCCTTGTTAGCAGAATCTACCCACTAATACGGAGAACAAACCTGCTACATAATTTGTTTGTCAGTCTTCCTTGTAAGTAAGGCAGAACAGGAGATAAGATGTTGGCCTTTGAGACAGAAGTGTCATTTACTTCAGACTTCTGGGCAAGTATTGATTTTTCTTTGAATAAAAAACATTAGTGGAGGCAGAAGAGCCTCCCCTTTATTTCTGCTTCTGTATGTGACCTATAGGGATGTTATAGAACTAAATGGCACACTTACCTGTAACCATAAGTTCAAGGTCAAGCAGCAATACCTGTATCTCAACAACAGATATTAAGGAGTCACACAACCAACTTTGATTTTGAAAGATTAAATGCATAGTGTATATAAATTTGGTTTTATAAACTATAAAGTTGGCAGTTCACTTCCTTGAAGTCTACTAAATCTCCTTCCTGCCCCCTCTCCAAGTTCTATACTTAGCAAATAATAGCAAAACGCATTCTGGTTTCATGGAAGGCAATGAATAGCCATGATGTTTCAGAAATCATAAACACCTTGACAGTAGGAGTCTTATTTGAATTCTAAGTAGGGAGTGAGGTATCCTGGGATGACAAGTTGGGGTGCATAGAAACTCTTTGTCTTTCTGTTTCAAAGCCCCTCTAATCCCATTAGCAGGAACAAGATCTATTAGACTGCATGCCTTAGAGGGAGTATTGGTCCAAGGCAGCACCCAAATTGTGATGTGATGGAAACAGAGGGGCACTGAAGGAAGATAAGGAGGAACACAGTTGGGGGAAGGAAGGGAAGAGATAAAGAAGGAGGAAAGGGGGAGAGAATGAGAATATTCTAAGTCCCTGGTCTTGGTAGGTGACATATTCTTTGATTGAAATGAATCCTGAAGCCTTGATTCTTATGTGCTTTTCCAGTGCTTAAGTAGCTGTGCTGGGATCTTTGGAAGGTGCATATGTAATATATACTAGAGTGACCGTTCTAATGATATTATGAAAAGGAGAAGAAATTCTCCTGCCTAGGAGGACCGACGAGAGCCTGTGGTTTCTTTTTTATTTCACATATCATTTAGAACTTAGCACGGTGACTCCACAAAGTGAGGAGGCTTTAAAAACTTAATGAGAATATATACAAAAAACCAGCCATGTGTTATTTGGGAATGCCCTGGAATGTTGAGGGCTTGTTGCATCGGGACAGGAAGGCTGTTATAGTGGTGCTTGTTTTCATTGCACTGGGTTTGCAGTGAGTATTTCACGCCTTCCCTGATGGTAAATAAATAAAATACCATGACCTTCACTTGGTTGCTAAACAACGCAAGTCCAGCATTGGTATTTTGAAAGCTGCTTCTTCTATAATTTTGACCTCAAGGACTTTACATTCCTTGATGGAAATGTATAATGCTAATGAAATTAAACTGTTAGATACAATTTAGTTTTCTCATAATGTGTTCTACTGGACCACAAAGAATGAAGCAATCACACTCCCCCCTAATCAGTACTTCTCATGCTCATGACTTCTTTTGTGATTTTTTTTTGTAAAGCGAGTTGAAATGTATATTTCAGTTTAGCTTAATGTGAATGTTTTTTTCCCCTCTCCAGCTACATTAAACATCCCCAGAAGGTAAAGACTCCATGTGACAATTTTCAGTTTTTGTTACAAAAGAGCTGTTGAAAATATGCCCCATGTAAAACTACTTCTTTTGGATGTCAATAGATATTTAAATTCTTTTCTCTTCTAAAATATGATAGGAGAAAGGAACTTCAAAAGATAAATGCTTACTATCTCACATTTCAGAGCATTCAAAATATTATCATATCCCATGTCCTAAACTAGGGATATAAATATAAACATCCCCAAGTCTATTTATCATAAAACTTACTTTTTGAGGAGAAATATGGCAAAATAAAGTATTGTGATGACTAGTTTTTTTTTTTTTTTTTTTTTTTGGTCAACTTTGCTGTAGGAATTTAGCCAGTAGCCTTTAAGTTACCCACCCACTTGGGTGTAGCCTCTTATACTATAAATGTTGATTTTAAGCTTGCATCCGGCCTCTCTTCTGGTGGCATGATTTGGTTCATGTTCCCCGTTCATGCAGAGGCTTGTGATCTGTGAGTCTACCCCTAAAAAAATAACCCTTTATTATACTCAATTTTGACTAGTGTGGTGTTTAGGCTAGGTTTTAGAATCCTTCTTCATCTGGTACCCAATGTGGGGCTTGAACCCGTGACCCTGAGATTAGGAGTCTCATGCTCTACCTACTGAGCTAGCCAGGTGGCTGGAAAACAAACTAACGGCCTTCCTTCAACAATCTGTGTGCCAATGTGGCCAACAAAATCCATGTAAATTCTGAGAAAGCTTAAAAAGGAATCCTAGACACAAAAGAACAGAGTTAAGCATGGTTTGGTAGCAGCATTTTCTTGTATGGGCTCTGTTTGCTAGAAGTAAGCAGAGGCATGGCTCCTTTAAGAGAGGTTTTCCTGATTCAGCGGTAGCAGAAAAAAAAAAAGCCATGCTATTTTAAAAAAAATGTTGGCTTTCTGGACCATTCTGCCAGTGTGACCTCTGGCTATTTCGGGAGGCTGAGCATTTAAATGGGGTTTGTGAGAAGACTGCTACTACTTGCTTAATGGCAACATAGATGTTCTATGTGCCTAAAAAGGGGGTATAAGCATGACTCTTGCTAAAGAGACCTCCACCCTGTCATGCTGGACTGGGTAGGGCAAGCAGGCAGTATTTCCCCTAGTAATGCTGCAACTTAAGTTTTTAAGAAGTGCTTAGTATTTTAAGAAGTGCTCTTGGACAGTAAAGAATTACAGATACACAATAGAACAGATTCAGACATAAAAGACCTCTAAATGGGTCACAGTGTTCAAAATAGGCTTGGGAGAGACAAAGAGTATAGAGAGTTATAAAAAAAGTAAATGGTTTATAAAAAAGAAAGAAAGTCTTTAAAGAGATAGAGTATAATAAAATATTAAAAGTAATAGATTTAAAACAAATAAGCCATATAAAGATGGAGAATACACAGATAATCTGGATTATGTTTATTATTATTATTATTTAAATTTTTGACTGTGAAGGAGTTAAGTACAGAGAGACATTTCATTGTATGGGCTACTAAGCTGAACCAGCATGTATTTGGGTCTAAGGATATGTTGCTTTGAAAGAGAGGTTCTTCCTTTGTTTCCACAGAGGATAAGAACCTGTAGATTTATTCCAGGTTAATGTGGTTTGATGCACCAAGACCCACTGAAGGGTGTCATGAATATCTCCAAAGATTACTTTGCCCAACAAAAAACAGGAAGCAGTATGGATAGAACTATTCCCATATTCTCAAATATTGTTAATAAGTGTTTGTTTACATTTAAAGGGTAACATTCTGTAGAAATTTGCATTGGTATGGATCTTGATTATCATTAATGCCTATAGCAGGGCAGAACTTAGCTAGGTGGAGAAAACTAAGCTGAATACTTGGAGAAAGGAGGCAGAGTGAGAGAAGCCATGTAGCCTCATGGTGACAAATACCAGATCTTTAGCCAGCAAGCCACAGCCACATGGCAATGCACAGATTAATATGGGTTAAACTAATCTGTAAGAATTAGCCAATAAGAAGCTAGAGCTAATGAACTAAGAAGTGATTTAAATAACATGGTTTCTGTATGATTATTTCAGGGCTGAGCAGCTGGAAACCAACAAGTGGCCTCCTTTCAACACAACTTGACATAAGTTAGAGTCATCAGAGAAGAGGGAGCCTCAATAGAGAAAATGTCTCCCAAAGATCAGACAAGCCCTTATGGCATTTGGTCTTTAAAATTATTTCTAAAATTATTTTTTAGAAGTACTCAGTTAAAAAATAACGGAGTACATGGAGAAAGAATAGTAATGTTTGAAGGAACAGACAATAGAATCAGACTCATGGGGGGCCCAGATATCAGAGTACCTGGCACAGGAGAGAACTGTGGCTAACAGTGCTGATGAAAATAGAATACATATAAGGAATCTAATTGAAATCCAAGAAACTGTAGTTAAAAGTAAATTATATAATATTTATTGACCCCATAGCTGAAGGAGAAGCTGAAAAGAACAGAGAACAAAGAGAAAGCTTGCCATTGGGTACTGAGATCCTGCTAAATAAGAGAGACATGGAAGAGGGAGGGAGGACAGACAGTAGCTTCTAAAAGTCAGCTGATCATGTGAACACATGATCTTTGATAATGTGGATGTTAGCATGTTTAAGATTTATTATTATGAACGGAAACCCAAAGTTTATTGAATAACCAATACAACCATGCTGTTTGAGGAATTCAAGGTGGGTACTTTATTTAGACAATGCCGTGCTCCCTGAAATCATAAATTAGTAAAACCACACCAGGATCCACATAGAATAAAAGTAGTGGAAGGACCAACATAACAGTTATGCACACCCTAACTTCCTAAGTACCTGAGAAAGAGACTTGCCACTTATAATATCTTTTTAATTTTACTGAGTTCAGAACTTACATTCAATGCACAGTGCTTACTGGCTGGCATACAATTAGGGACAAAAGCTTCTGAGACACATTGAGGGATGAATTGGAGGCTTATTGTTTCTTAAATACACAAAATAATACTGAGTGCTAAGCCCCCAAATGTCCTTTACTTAATGTCTTTTACTATGATGGTTGGGCTAGATGAATCCGAGCTCCTCTTTTTCTATCAATCTGACCTTTGGATAAAGATGCCAGCAGCAACATAGAGTGCTCCCCTGCTATGCTCCTGACTGGCAGGTATGCACAGAGCACCCTAGACTCTATAAACATCTCACTTAGTGAGGCATCCACTTTAGTACCCAGAATGTCAACACTTCCAGCAACGTTTCTTTCCCTCGATCGGGAGAATTATGCTTATTACTGCTGTGATGAACAGACTACTGTATGTCCGCAGCACACTTTATTGAGTCTGCTAGCTTTAGACATCAGTGAGCAGGATGTACTTGTCCTGCTTTTGTATGGCTTTTTGTCCAGAGTCACACATAACCAAAATCATAAGTCTTCTCAAGGCCACAGATTAATTTTTATTTGCCATTTCGAAGAGGAAGCTAAAACCTAATTCTTAAAACCTAATCCCTTAAACTCACTCAGACAAAAAAATATTTGTGTGCTGTGAAGCCTCACAATGGCATGAAGCAGTTCCTGGAAGTGTAATTCCCAGAGGAGGTCTTTTGTACATCAGCTCCTGGTATTCCTTCCCCTCATTGCAACTAAAGCCAAGTCTAAAATAATTCAGAATGCCAGCATCACAAAGGGAGACTATGCCTATATTACAGTTTCTAGTTAGAATGGGGCATTGTCCACATGTGTCTGATGACATTCAAAAGCTCAGAATCGGGTCCACCCATTTCTGAAACAGAGAAAGAATACATGTTATGTTTTTATTCTCTGTTCAGATTTTATTAGTTTCCTTTTCCTCTTTTGTATCCATTAGAATTCTATTCAAGATTTATAATTACCTTAGAGGAGGTAATACGGATATGCCATTTAAGGCTGTTGGTTTCTTCACTAATGTAGTCATTCATAGTTACTCTTGCGCCAGTAAACAGCCTCTCACCCACTTAGACAAGAAACTAGGTGAGTTGCGTGGGCCACACACAGAAAGAAGACATGAAATAAAATATTAATAGGAAGAAGGGCTCTGACAAGAGAAGAGAGGTAGAAACAGGAACAGGGGTTGAAATGAACTGAAATTAAGTCATATATTTTATATTATATATATAATGTCCTGATGGGGGAAAGACTACTTTTGACACTGAGTTGTGAGTTGCCATTGTTTATCTTTCTGACTTTTCATATACAATTATATATACATACGTATATATATATAAAAATATATATATATGAAACTCTCAAAAAATAGAAAACACTTGTAAAAGGAACACCTTGTATTGAAAACAGAAGTTCTAATAATAGAATAACTACTTAACATTAACCAGAAGTGTCTTCAAACAAAATAAAATTTAAATATATCATAGAAACTTGTTATTAATATGCCTACTTTCTTAGGACAGGGAGGATCAAATCCTATGTCTCTGTAATTGAAACTTTCAGAACTTATGATTTCAGGATTCTATTTAAAAAATATTTCTATAACTGTGTCCTAATGATCCAAATATAACAGGGACAATTGACAACAGTCCCTCTGCCGAAAAGCTAGGAGATAGTCCCAGACCTGAAAGATGGTATAGAAGGATAGGAAAGTGCAAGAAGACTAATAAATAGGAAAAAGTTGTTAGGATGTAATTTTGACATGACTCTAAACTGTAGCACTCCAGGATGAAGGACAAAGAGGTATAAGTACCAAGTCCTCTGTGGCAATAGCAATGAGATCAGTAAAGATTCCCCACACCTATACCAAGTTACCACATGACTTTACTCTCAGTGACTGAATCAGGCAGATCGCTGAAGAATTTCAGACAAAACAGGAGAAATTGTGACCAGGTACATTTTAAGCCAAGGAGAGAGGTGAAAATGTACATCCCAAAGGAGACATTCAGGATAAATTTGAGTTCATGGAGACTGAGTTACTTTCTTCTAGTGGTTCAATGGGAGAGTATAATGAGAATGAGGGGTTAGCGTCTTCTCCTTTATCAACTCACTTGCCTTTTCTAGTAAATAACAAAATGATTCTTTGCTTCCAGTTGAGATAGTGGTTGCCATGGCAACTTCTTTACATTGAATGATAAGCCAGTAAGCACACGTATCTATCTAGTTTTGGAAAAATATATATCTGTTAAAATATTTTCCTAATAAATGGTCAACATTTTTGAGTGAAACAAATCCATACTTTCAGTAGAAAAATGCAACACACACAAATAAAATTTACTTTTAGATATTTTTTTTCAGAAGATGAAAGTCTCCCAGAAAGGACTGTTTAATGAAATATGGTGTGAGCAAAAAGAAAATGTTCAAACCTGGCCAGGTGGTGGTGGTGCACACCTTTAATCCCAGCACTCAGAAGGCAGAGGCAGGCAGATCTCTGTGAGTTTGAGGCCAGCCTGGTCTACAGAGTAAGTTCCAGTACAGCTAGGACTTTCACACAAACCTTAGCAAACTTAATGCCAGTGCTGAGAGAAGAATTATTTTCTTAATATCTCTGTCTCTGTCTCTGTCTCTGTCTCTGTCTCTGTCTCTCTCTCTCTCTCTCTCTCTCTCTCTGTGTTTGTGTGTGTGTGTAGTGTGTGTACTCAAATGCACATGCACACATGGCCATGCACAGGACCTTACCTGTGCATGCTTGG